GATGGCATTTTGTTTTCATCTTCGCTCCATGTAATACCTAAAGGAAGTGTTCTTAATCGCAATACTGCTTTGTCCACGGAGGTTACGGGAAACAGCTCTAATTCTGCTGTTCCATAAGCGCCACCTGCTGTCAGAGAGTGGATTTACAGAGTTACCTTTACATTCAGCCTGTGCGCAGTTTTTGTCTGTCCAAAAAACGGACTGAATTTGCATGCCCTGCTGTAAATTTTGACCAGTTGATGAAAAACAAGTTTATGTGGATTCTACCCTTTTAAACAATTTGGATAAGGTATCTAGAATTATTTATGGAGCAGATAAAACACATATAATCATTTATTAATAAATTTTCATTCAATCATTTTGACAACCCTTTTCTTTATTTTTTTTAGGTTTACCATTTTATGAAACTTTTTCAAAGCTTTATTTTTTTTTAGGTTTACCATTTTATGAAACTTTTTCAAAGCTTTATTTGAAGATTTCGTACGTTATTAGATAAACTGTTGTCAGTCATGTTGTTATTTAAAATAATTGGTAATGTTATTGTTTTAGTGTTAATGCAAACAAAAAGTAATTTTATTTGTTGTTTGTTGATTTTAAATATAAAACTTGGTGAAACTATTTATGTGTCAGTACTTTTTGAAAATTTCCAGCACATTTTAACAATACCATAATACTGATAACCGTGATAATTTTGGTTACTATAACCGTGATAAGAAATTTTCATACCGTTTCATCTCTTTTCTTTGATAATGTAAATATTCTTTGCTTGTTTTCTGTTGCAGATGTTTTCCAAAGTATCCTGGATCTCCAAGTTCACCAGGAATCCTGCAGGGCAGTGGTGTTCCTGTTGACATCCATATCATTGTCAGCAACATATAAAAATAGTCAAAGATGGCCCATTCCACACACATTCCCTGCAACTAACCATGACAAACCAAGTGTTAAAAGATGGGTGTTTGTGTTAAGCTGGGGACACACTACACGACTAGTTGAAACATTCTAAGACTGAACTCAACACATTTAAAGACTGTTTCCATCGACTGGAGCAGACTCTAGTCTTTGACAGTCAGAGATGAGCACATGACTGACTCAGTCCACTACACAACACACTTAACGACTGGCACGTCACAACTGGACAAATTCTGCCAAACCAAAAAACAAACAAAGAAACAAACAAAAAAATGCAATATCTGATTCTACCCGCGCTCCTGCCCCACCAAAGACAACAAAGCGGACAACACCAGTGCTTATACTTACTGAAACGTTAAAGGTTAGTTTTTCATTTCTTAGTTTGTGCTTAATAAAACAGAAAATATAGCTTTCCTGCTATGTAGGTGTTGCTAAAAAATGCCACAGCAATGTCATGATTTTTTTCTTCTACATTAAGTCCTATGTTTCTCCGTCTTTTTTGAATTATTGCTTGAACAGACACATTTCGTTATGTCTTTTAAGACACCTGTTTAATTTCCTTAATTATTTCATTATATATAATTAAAACATTTCTAGTGCTAATTTTAAACGTTTAGTCAAGCAATAATATATTCATTATCTCATATTTGTCTGAAAGGGATTAAAAATGAATTGGTTCTGATTAAAAACGGTAGGCTATTTTTTCCCTACAGAAAAAATAAACATTTTATTTTAATTATATTAGTCTACAGTAAACATTAAAGCTCCCAATGGCGCTGTCAACACTGCACTCCGACAGCTGACAGAACTGCAGAGAAATTCATGGCATTGTAATTTCCTTATCCATTTGACACAAAACTATTATATAGGCCTATAATTAATCTATGCATATAAAATAATTTTATTTTGTGTCATGTTGGTGATTTTTTATAAAAATTTATGTAAAATGTATGTAATTTCGTTATGTTCATATAATCGTTATGAACAAAATTCGTTAGGAACAATAGCTTATTTGTTATGATGTTGATTTAAAAATTCTTTATAAAAAATTAAGAAAAAGTTAAAAGTTAAGAAAATAAAAGAATAACTAAGAAATTCTTGATAATATCTTTAAAATGAGAGAAATCACTGACATAATGTAGGCTATTTTGCTTTTTTCGACTGCAGAATTTTTTTTTACATGTGATGTTAACTTAAATGAAATAAAATAAAGACAAGAAATAAATCACAACAAGATGTGTAATCTAGAAAAATATTTGACAAAATTACAAAATGAACGCTGAATGACATTTGACAGTGAACGCATCTTCACTACATAGCGGCATATAGCTTACTGGCGTCAGTCAAACTCGCAAATATTAAACATGTTTAAAAAAAATCTTTGTGAAAACGACTGGTAACAACTGGTTCTTGAATTCTAAGATTATAATCTTTAGACACCACACACTATGCAAATTTTCTGCCGACTGCAAACAGCGACTGCACGATCGCCATCGAGACCAAATTACATTCATAATCGGCATGACAGTCGTGTAGTGTGTTCTCTGCTTTAATTGTTAGTAAAAAATGTATCTGAATATCTAAGATCAGTAAATGTTGGCTGATAAGCGAAAGGACAGGAGGGAATATATTGTTGTAACTATGCAATTACATTGCAGTCCAGCATTATAATTTCATGAACTGTCCTGACAATGAGAATGATTCCAAAACCTGTATAAACTGAAACATAGGACCTCATTTTAATGTGGTTGACGGGAGATCTGTCATATGCTGTCGATTACCACAGAACATTTTCAGTTTTCTTCTATATCACTTTTTAATTCATAGTGTTCTAAATAAGCTTTACAGAAAATAATTTCAATTTATCCCGTACTTTATAAAAACACATACAATACACATACAATGAAAATGCTTTTCAGAGGGTTTAAAGTAATGTGTAGTTTGTATTTTTATTAAAATGCAGTTCCACAAAAGCCGTTTGCATCGCGCTCTTTTGTCCTAATATTTTATTTTGGTGAGTCAATCTGTTAAATTACTTAGTATATAAAGCCATGATCCGCACTCAACAAAAATATTCTTCTTTTTGCGTTAATGTAAAATAAATTGCATTGCAAGTTAACCCTTTAGGCGCCAGGTTTTTTTTTGGAAAAATGCTGGATTTTGACATCAAGATTTCAAAAGCTTGTGGCTTGAAAGGGTTTAAAGATAGAGATCTAATGTAAATTAGAAAAATGTTGGGCATGACCGAAAGTTTATGTGGGGTGTAAATATACTCATCTAATTTGCATATTATGACGT